AAAGAATAGAAAAATATAGAAGAAAAGGAAATGGTAAGAAAATACAAAAATATATAAAAAGAAAAATATAAAAACGGAAACTTCACAATTAAAAATACTAACTATAAGATAAAAGTTAAAAAATATAAAATCAAAACTTCAAAAAATGCATACTGTTTCGAACTTGCGCTTTTTCTTTATCCCTTTTCTCCTTAAAATTATCAATTGGTTCTAGAAGAAACTTTTACTAAGCTAACCTCAAATTGTAGTCTTATTTAAGTGTATTTCCATAAGAATAATTTTATCCACAACTAACAAATATGTACAATACTATATAGTATATATGTACCAACATCCATATGGTTTATATTCCCACTTCTTGAACTTTTTCAGCTTTTATATTCCAAAGTAACCGCTGTTCTTATGTTTTTCTTTTCTTTTGTTATTACTTTATATAATTTTTTTATTGTTTGTGGTTGTTTTTTTTTTTGGAAAATAAGAAGAAACCGAATCAGAAACAGTCGTAAAACCAAAAACAAAAATTTAATGTGCCTCAAGGTTAGGCGAAAAAGCAGCAACGTCGACTGCGAAGCTCACAAAAATGAAAAAAAAATACGTCTGTACACGACAAAATAACAACAACAAAATTTACGCCAAAAAAAAAACAAGAACGCACAACAAAAATAAAATTCGTGATGAATTTTAAACAATAAAAACAAACAACAAACAAATGTTCGGAAAAAAAAGACTGGAAGAGATAGGGCGGCGGGCTTAAGGCGGCTGTGGGAGGTGGGGTGGTGGGGAAGGGGGCCAAGGAATGGTTAAGGCAAAGGTTATACGAAAACGTTTTTGATGAAAGAATAAGAGAGTAAGAATATAAAAGGCAAATAGGGGAAAAGTGTGGTCTTACTTCAAAAGAATGCAATTAGTGTGACCATGTAAAAGATAATATTATTTTACTAATAGTACAATACAATTAAATACAATTAGTATGTGTGATCTTACTCCAATACAATACAAAAAGCGTGACCATATCCCTAAAACTTTTCAAGATTCAGATAACTAGAGTACTTCCAAGTCGCCATGATCGTAAAAACCAACTTCTAAGACTGTTTCTTCTCAGTTTCAGTTAAACAGAATTGTTATTTGTGAAGCTTTTACTGGCTTCGCATTTTCGACTGTCGACAAGTTGACAAATGGCAAACCGGTCTGGCTTTTGGCCAGCTCCAGCTCCAGCTACAGCTCCAGCCCCTCCCAATTCCCCTAAGATCCTCACCGAAAATATAAAAAAAAGCGAAGGCGAGCTTAACTAACACTCATTTTGTTGCTGTTTTTCTGGGATGTATAGAATAAATATATAAAAGTACATACATATATATAAATAAATAAAATACTCGTTAGCAAACCCAAATGCATACAAAATTTCAATAAAAAAATCAACAAAAAAAAGAAAGAAAGCGCGTGGGCGAAATTTGGAATTGTATCTCGAATGGAAATAATACTTTTTTTTTTTGGGGGAGAAATGGGAAACGGGAACCAAGACTCTGACCAAGAGAGACTGATATAAAGAACGAAACAAACATCAATTGGTTAATCAATTTGCTGAAAAGTGAATTGAACGAATTAAGCTGATTGCACGGCCTACAAATGCGGGCTTCGATGTTCAGTTTTGGGTTTAAGTCCAAGTGGTTCCACCCTTTTTCTCCCTTGGGGGATTACAAATATTGCCTGACTGCCTCACTGGCTTGGCTGCTCAATGTTTCATTTGTTGTTATGTTCTAGTCTTTATTTACTTGAAAGGTTTCTTATGATAATAAAGGGTTTTTTTTGTGGCGTATCTTGTAGTTTGTACTTTTTTCATGCGTTTTTATTTTAAGGTTATGAATTAGACTTTAGTGGTTAGTAGTTACTCGTTACTAGTTACTCAATACTCGCTTTTCCTTATCCATTTTTCTTGATTTCAAGTGCTAACTTTCTTTATTATCACTTTTTGTCTTTACTTTATCATTTTATCACTTTTCAGTTTCCTTTATTTTCTATAGTTTCTATTTACTAGTTACTAGTTACTTCTTACTCTTTTCTCGTTACTTTTTATTAGTTATTAGTAACTTGTTACTATTTTATTTAATATTACATTATTAGTTACTAGCTAGTTACTACTTTTGTATGTCCTTTCAAGTCTTCTTTTAACATTTTCTATCATATTCAGTTATTTCGCTGAATTCTTAAGTTTCCTATTTACTCGTTATTAGTTACTCTTTTCTCGTTACTCGATTATTAAACGCTACTCGTTACTTATTCAATTTTTATTGAATATTTAACAATGCCTGTTATTTTTTAGTATCCTTTCTAGAATTTCTTTATTCCTCATATTCAACCATATCACTAATACCCCATGTTTCCTATTTACTAGTTGCTAGTTACTTTGTTCTCGTTACTCGTTTATAGTCTAGTTGATGCAAAATAAGAAAGTTTACCATTTCAATGAATTTTCTTTCTTCAAAAATGTCTATACCCTCATTTCCTTATAAGGTTCTATACCCATTTCTTGACCATGTCCTTGTAACTCTATAGTTTACCGTTGGCAAGTGCCTGGCCAACCCCCCTTTCCCTGGCATCAAACAGCTATAGCTTTAGCTTTACTTTACTTGTTGATGCAATACGTCGTGGGCCCCTCCCCCATGATTATTGGTTAAATCTGTTGAAATGTTTACATTTGCCGCATGCACTGCTCCACGGGCTATGGCTTATGGCTTATGACGGAGGCAATGGGGGGCTATGGGGGCGCTATGGGGGTATTGGACATTTGAGTTTTGTTTGCGGTGACAATTTTCATTGCTTTTGGGAGCAACACACATGGTGCATTCATACAATATTTTTTTTTTTCACTTTTTGAAAAATTATTCACAACCAACGGGCAGCACTGACAGTTTTGTGTCGTCCGGCTCGGATGAATTTTTGTATTTTTGACAGGCATCTTCCTCCTCATTGCCTCAAAAATATGGATTGGTTGTTATTCGGGGATGTCGGTCTGGTGGGGGGGCTTTGAGATGGTTCGCTGGTTGGATGGTATGGACATTATACAGATGCGTATGTGGTATATATGGGTATATGCTTGACTGCCCCACTGATAGCCTGTCAAGGCCATAAACTAAGCCCGACTCCCCATTTTATTTTTCTCGCTTTTAGAGACCCCCGGAGTATGGTGGTATATAGCACCCAAAAAATAAAGTCCGGGCTCATTAATGCGCACTATGTTTTTGTGCTTAAAACGCCATTTGGGCGTTAGCCCGACCCGACTGTCTCTCTTCAGCTGTCTTTGTTTTTATTTTATTGTTTTCTTGTTTGTGAATATTATAGTAAGTGAATTTCTACAAAGACACTGAGAAAAAGTAAAGCTAGGATACTAAAATTCCAACTAAGAGTTTGAAATTATAAAGAAAATTTTGTTCTTAATTATAATTATTCTTTATTTTGACTGGTTTTAATTAAAATAAACTTTTTTAATATTGACAAAATTTTTTTTTCAAGACTTAAACTTTATTTTTTGTGTAAATTTTTGGCAAAAATCAAATGTATCTTCCAGTACGCCACACATGTCCCGACAAAAAAGAACATCTTGATGTTAGCTCTCTTTTCGGAACATTAGACGCTCCCTGTGTCACGCCGCCCCTGGACCACCCCTGGACCTTCCCCCTGGATCCAACCCCAATCCCAATCCCAGCTGCCCCAGCTACCTCCCCTCCTGAAAGTTACTGTAACTACTGCGTCTTCGTCTGTGTCGGCCTGCCAGCACAATGGGCATCATTCATCGGCCATTCAGTCGATCCGTTCGCTGGGAAAGAGTTTTGAAATTCTAAGTTCTTTATGGGGGAGGTGGGGGGGGCACAGAGCTCGCACATTGTAGTATATATAGTCATACAGAGTACCAGGGTTGCCTCGTTTTTTTTTTTGGGGTTGGGGCGTTGGCATTTTCCGCAATTCACTGTCGGCGATAAAATGCGCAACGGGCAATGGGATAAGTCCTTTTCGGTGGCCTCCGTCGGCCTGAATTACAAATGCAAAAAAAAAATACAAGGGGGTTGCTCCAATATAGACATACCATATATATACATTTGTGGATATCCATAGGGGAGGGTTTCCCGAGGGGGTGGAACATAAAAATATTTATTAATGAATGCATTTTGTTGAAATGTGCACGAATAACGCAGAATATTTTCACCAAATTGTCCATAAATCCAATTGGAAATGGTTCTGTCAGTATCTGTATCTTTTATTTGGTATCTGTGAGTGATATCTATGTGTGTGAGTGTGAGTGTGTGCAGCAGCAGCAGCAACAGCAGCTGATTAATGAAGAAGTGCGCAAAGGCAGAAAACACCTGTTAACCTCTTGGTATCTGTGCCTGTGGCAGTATCTCTGTATTTGTATCTTTGTATCTGTGTGTTCTGGCTTCTTGGATGATGAGTTGGCAAACGTGTAGTATCTGTGTCTAGTATATCTCTGTATATGTTTTTAATTTACAAATAAAAAAAAAATATACATATATATATCTATTAAATATTTACCAAACATTTTCCATCATTCATTACAAAAAACAAAATTCCGGCGAACATACCCCATGAATGTAATCAATGGAAGCTCTTTGAGTGTTTATTATCGTGAATTGAATGATTTCTAGTAGAAGTATTCATTTCCCCAACACGTTCTTCTAAAAGTATATATGTATATATGTACATATGTATATTGTTTATTTAGTTTATATTGAATTAAAGTTTCCAAAACGGAAAGATACGGCACTGGGCACTTGAGTATTTCCCCCTATGAATGGAATGATTTTAGACTTGACCTGTTGACCGAATGGGGGCTTTGGACTTCTAGTATATACATAGGTACTTTCCTAAAAACCCTACTTAATCTATACAATAGGGTATATAACATATCGGGAGATCCCCTACAAATATCGTAATATGTGAAAAAAGTCACGTACTTTACGTGCAAAATACATCCATCAGACTCTTACCTGGAGGACTGAGATTCCACCTGCTGATTGTCTTTCTGCTTCTTAGACTGCTTTCCAACACTGTTCTCCCAGGCGACAGACACCTGTTTGGGTTTAGGGGTTCTAAGCCGGGCTTTGTTGTTGAGTTTTCGAAATTGAAAAAAGGGCTCACTTTATTTTTTTTTAATTTTTTTTTTGTAAAAAATGGAAATAACAAAAAACACACTTTGTGACACTAAAGCGTAAAGCTGTGGTAAGGCATTGTGGTATTTAGTAGTTGTTGTTGTTGTTGGTTTTGTTGCTAAAGCACTTATTTGGTTCAACACTTGAAAAAAATATTGTACGATCTCTGGTTTTGTATATCTTTGCTTTTTATTTGTTTTGCGCTATTTTTTTTGTTGATTTTTGACAATTTCGCGATTTCAATTTTTGTTTGTTTGTTTGTTGGAAGGGGGTGTTCAGTATATTTGTGTTTTTAGAAATTTTTGGGGGGGTTTTGGGTTTTTGGGTTTATTCATTACAAATTTTTTTTGTTTTGTAAAAAGATAAATAGCTAGAAATTGCCTAGCTATTGGGGTCTTGTAACTTTCAACGCAACACGACACAACCTTGTTCGACAGGCCGTACCTCAGTGTACTCGCGACGAAACCAACACGTTGAATAAAGTTCGAGCAGCGTTCAAATTCGCTTAAAGCTTCAGCCAGCGGCAGCGGCGGCGTCGACGTCGACAGTGGCAGTGGCAGAGTGGCAGAGTGGCACAACACGGCGTGCGATTCTAATGCCGCGAGAACGAAACGAATGGAATATGAAACAGTCCAAGGCGCGGCCCCCGTTTTTGTTTTTATTGTTGTTTTCTCTGTGTTTCTGCCTTCTGCTTCTGCCAGCGGTCTAAGTCGTCGCCATAAAATCTAATAAGAACACTATTGATTGTGTATGTGTGTGTGGTTCTAGTTGGAAAAGGGGGTTGGGACATGGGGTGGTAGCGACGACCGACCGTCTGTCCCACTGTCTACTGAGCGGAACGTGTGGCAATGGGACGCGTCAAACAAATAAACAAACACACACCACAAACATTGGGCAGAGGCGGTGGCAGAATGGATATCTAGTAGATATCAGTGGGGATTTTCGAGATAATGGAAATAAAAGTTTAATGCCAAGTAAATCAATATGATAAGATACAAATTTAGAGATACAAATATAAAAAAAATTTATGATAGATATTAAAAGCTTAACAACTTTAAACTTTAACTAATATTTCAACTTTAATTTAGTTAAAATTCAACAAAAAATAGAATGACTTTATTCTTTTTATCGTTTCTGACTTAAGAAATAGAATAGAAACTTTAAAAATTATATGTTATTTCTTTTATAACATTATTTATCATACAGGTAATCTAAAACCCTGAAGAATTTGCCTATTTTGGGCTTTTGGAAGTATTATCCCTTTACATAGGAACCTAATCGTTATATTCAAAAAAATATGTCAATGCTGCTTAAAAAATTTCTCAATTAGTTAAATCTCTTTATTTTAAATTTCAGTAGGTAAAAGCTCTTATAAGTAATTATAAACCAAGAACTTTATTAGTTGTCGGTTAAAAACTTACCTCCATTAAAAAGAGCGCTGTACTTGTACTGGGGTTATGCTACTTCATGTGCTTATTCTTAGACAGGTGGACTCTTAATTTTTTCTTGAAAAATGAATTGTTTATGTTCCAAATAGAGTAACTAGATACTTCCGATCCCTTTGGTTACCAATTTCTAGATATAATTTTCCTAAACACTGTCCATTTCGCGTTATTTGAAATCTCTTTTAGCTTAAGTTATCCCTACTTTTAGTTATAATAATCTAAAATAACAGATCATAGTTAATAAATAAATAATAATGTTATATCTAATATAAGTAAAATCTGTCAGTAAAAGATTCTGTTTTTTGTTTATAACATATTTTTAAAGTTATAATTTTAATGTTATATTTTGTTTATAACAGTTTTTAATGAAAATATACTCAACAAAATCTTAAGAACGTCTTCCGTAGATACCCATTATCTTAGTATCCAAAAGCAACCCCTTTTCGTCTACGCCTTTTGCGAAATGGAAGTAGCGGTGGAAGTGGAATCGGAACGGCAGCGAAGATATCCGAAAATTAAGTGCGTAAGTGTGCGGGAGAGGGTGTGTGTGTGTGTGCCTCTCTCTCATTCTGCCACATTCTCCTTTCTCGCAAAGAGGGCCAAAAGAGCCACTAAATTTTTGGTAATAGTTTTTTTTTTTTAAAAAAAAATTTGCATGGAATTTTTGGTAAGGGAGGGGTAATGTAGAGGAAACACTAGAGATTAGAAGCCAAATCGGACAGGCGATCGATTAACTGTTGGATCTTGGCATAAAAAAGCAATGTCCGCTTATCAGTTTTTTTTTCTGTTAATTTTTTTTTTTTTTTGCCTGCGAATCTTGTGACCTAGCCCTCACCACCACCCACTTTTTCAGCTCGCCCACCACCGCCACCCCCGCTTCCACCACTTTCCAACACTCCACTGTATACTCTCTTTCGCTCGCTCTCTTTCTTCCTCTCTGCTGAGCGGAATGCTTGGAAATGAAATCTTATTGCATACACGCATTCGCATTTGAAATGCAGCGACGTCGACTGCGACGCCGTGACCTTGAAAATATTTTTTACGACTCAGTGCCTCTCTTTCTGTCGCCAGGTGGCGGCATCTCTTTCGTTCGTGGGAGCTTAGGCGGCATGCGCAGCCGGCTTGGCTTTCAAATTGGAAATAAAAGTATCTGGAAGATACTTTTTCCACATTTTAATGGACTATCTATCTTAAAGGGACTCTACATAAAAAGCTTAAAAATATTACAAAAGATGAAGATAAAGAAACACTTAATTATTGCATAAAAACGAAGAAGAAGAAAAAAAAAACTAACAAAACGGGCAACTTATGACTGTGATAAGGCCTCGCCGTCCTCTGCCATCGCCTCGGCCACCGCTATCGGTTATCGGTTATCAGCTAACGGTAACCAAAGGTGCACAGGCTGGCAGACGCAGAGACGCGGGCAGCGACGTGACAGAGCTCAGAGCCAAAAAAAAAAAAAAAAGTCGCCAGGAGCTGAAAGGGCAGGAAGACGCTCTTACCTGTACCGGAGGCGTACACCCATTCGAGTGGCAATTCGCTCGGCAATCAATCAACAATTTCATTTTAATCACTGGGAACGGAACACCGGCTAAACAACAGCAATAACAATAACAACAAAAGCAAGAAAATAAAAAACAAAAACAAAAAAAAGAACAAGAGAAAAAAAAATAGCCGGCTACAAAAACGCAATGAAAACAATAACAAAACTGTGCAACTTTGAGAGAGCAACTGACCAAAAGAGAGGCAAAGAGAGAGGAAGAGAGAGAGAACCGGCTACGTTCCATTACCATTTATTCCACTCACACTCAGTTTGTTTTGTCCCACTCACGTTTCCACGCGACCGCCGAAAGCGAAAAGGCAAAATAGCAACAAAAACAAGCAAAAACCGAAAAAAAGAAAAAAAAAAAAGGAAAAAAGCGAAAGCTTCGTACACCTTCGGCACGCTTTGGAGCCCACTTCGTACAACATCGGCTATAGTGAATGGTAAAGGGGGCTATTTTTAGACACTTACTCGCATCATGCCGAGTTCTCATACGCCGCCGATCGCGTCATTTCAACGCTGATTGGTCGAACACTTCCAATAGAAACGACAGCGGGCAACGTTGGCAGCAACAATAGCAACACCAGTACCCACTGGGGCACCAACAACAACAACAACAACAAGTATGTATATTCTCCAACACAGAAAAGTTCTATGTCGCCGTTGCCGTCGCTGCCTCCGCTGTCGTCGTCGTCGTCGTCGCTGTTGGCATCTAATAGCGAATTTATAAAGGAATAAAATGAGCATTAAAAGCGGCAAGCGGCGAAGGCAAACGACAAGAGTGGTGGGGGTAAAGGGGGGGTGGGGGGTAGCTTGTAGGAGGGGCGGTAGCAAGTGGCATATGGAAATTGTTGCAGCAGCTGCGGCACCCAAAAGTGTGCCAAAAATTGTCCCAAAGAAAGTGCAAGCTGGCACACTCATCCACACACACACATACTTAGATGCAGATGCACACACCAGCGGTTGAAAAATTAGCAAACGGCAATAAAAATAAATATCAAATAGCCATAAAATTAATTAGCTTATACTATTTGATTGAAAAACAAAACAACAACAAAAATAATTACTTTCTAAAAAAGTTATAAATCAATTTTAATTTAGCTTGAATTAATTTTAAAGAAAAACTTTTAAAGAAATTGAATATATTTGAATATATTGTAATTATCAAATACCTTCAATAATACCCAAAACCTTAGAAATATATAAACTTTTTAAGCTCAGCCTAAAATTACATTCCAGATGCTGAAAATATTTTCCAAGAAATTATTCCTAAAAAAGTATTACTCATACGCACTGTTGTCTTGCTTTGTTTTATATTCTTTTAATAAGAATCCTAGGAATATTCATAGGAAAAAAATTCCATTTTTTTTTAAATTACATACAAAAGTTTTGTTATTACTCATTATTCAAAAATCAAGAACTGATATGCCAATAGGAAAAGGAAATATTAACTTTAAAATGAGTTCATGTTCTTAGAAATACAAGATTTCAATAATTTTTTGTCAAAAAAAAAATGTTATTGTAGATTAGAAATTACAAAAAGCTATAGGGTCTATTAATTTTTTTCCATAAGTGATTTAAACAACTGGTTGTATGGGTTATATTCTTAGAAGACATGGGTTTTTTTTATTAATTTTTGGTAGGAAAGTACTGTAGATTTCTTAGAAAAGAGAGTCTTTATCACTTTTTTAATAGAGATTTGAAATATGGGTTAAATATATGATTTTAAACAATGGAATCTATAAAAATCTCTAGAAATATATTTTTTTCATTAGAATTATTTTACTAAGCTACTTGAAAGTAGTTTATATTTAATCATCTTCTCAATCTGAAAGTAACAAGTGCTCTCGTTTTGACCACCACTGTAGCCATCTGGCTGGGGAGATGCTAAGATTACAGGCGACGCACTGGGCTTGCTGGTTGCCTGTTAGTGCTTCTGCAACTGCAGTGGGAGAAGCACACATAGATACAGAGTGTAGAGTGCGTGTGTGGGTGTAGTTTAGCACCATCCGCCCAGTATCCACATTTCCACCCCTCGCATTTTCCGCCACGTGTTAGTCAATTGGAATTGTCAGTTATTGTTGCTTGCAGGCGCATTCATAGCTAAAATTTTGCTTTAATGAAATGCTAAAACGTGTTATGTAAAGCAACAACAAAATAATAAATAAAATAATGACTTACCAAATACCCTTTATAAAGTCTTCTATTAGAACTACCCTTAGAGATCGTATATACCCTGGAAAGTGTAAAACTACAGGGTAT